AGTGTAGATTTCCTCAGGAAGTTGGTATTAATTGGGTCATTCCGAGCATGTGTAGTTGATTGCTCATTGAAAGCATATTTTGCTTTGGTGAGGGTAGAAGGATTGTAAGCATGTGGAAATCAATATTTTTGGCTATTTTTTTGGATGATAATGATCTGAAAGTTTTGAAGTTACGGGCCATATCTATCATCCTTATGGAGTTCTGCGGATAAGGAGTTCAAGGGCTTTCTCTTTAATTATGGTTAGATAAAAAAGTGAATTATTATTCTTGGTATTACTTTCCTAAAAAATTAACATACTGCTTAGATTATTAGGATTTCGATCTGAATGCTGCCTCTTAGGTTTTGTGCTTGAGACTTGAAAAGATTGTTGTGTCTGCAAGCATCACACAGTGATATGCTGCTTTTGTTATGCAACTGAAATTTCATTTTCAAATTAAGCTCAGGAATTAGAGAAAGTAGGAGCTATATGCAAGCCCCTCGTGTACTCCAGAATAGTACTTATAACTGTTATTGCGAAAAACTGCCTAATGGAGATCAAGCTCAAGATACGGATAAAGATATAGAGTTATACTTTAAATAGAAGCTTAAAATAGAATTTAATTTCAATTAGATTTGATAAGATTAGTTTCGATACAATTATAGTTTATTAGAATTTTATTTCTTTTTAGTTTATTAATATATTTGCTTTATAAAGAGAGGGGCTTAGTCATTGTAATTCATGATTATATGAATAAAAATTGATTTCTCTCTGTCCTCAATTTTTCTCTTCGTCCTCAATTTTTCTATTCTTGGACCCTTTTCTTTTTGTGCCTTATCTTGTTCATTAACAGACTATAGACTCATGCGTCAATTTGGTATCAGAGCAATTCGTTTCTCTTTGACCTAACATCCTTGTTCTTATGTACTTCAGAATAAAACTTGTAATTGTTATTGTAAAAAAACTACCCTTTCCATTATCCCATATGTTCCCATTTGTTGTTTGAATATCGAATGTTGTCTCCATAATTCGCATGAGACACCCATTTGAAAAGAAAAAAGAAAAGAAAAAAGGGGCATGTGGATGATGAGGATTCTTTGATGAAAGAGTAAAATGATGAAAAATAAAAGGCAAAAGGTGAAGAATTATGCCTTTTTTTTTTTAAAATTTATTTATTTATGAATAAGAGTTATACTTATGTTTCTGTTTCCATTTTCAAAGCTAAGAAAGTCGTAATAGAGAAGTTACGTCTCCATAATTCGCATGAGACACCCATTTGAAAAGAAAAAAGAAAAGAAAAAAGGGGCATGTGGATGATGAGGATTCTTTGATGAAAGAGTAAAATGATGAAAAATAAAAGGCAAAAGGTGAAGAATTATGCCTTTTTTTTTAAAAAATTTATTTATTTATGAATAAGAGTTATACTTATGTTTCTGTTTCCATTTTCAAAGCTAAGAAAGTCGTAATAGAGAAGTTAAAAGGAACGAAAAGAAAAGACTGCAGGAGTCTTCATAGACTAATTCATTCATGTAAAATATTGCTCATTTCAATGTTGACATGATTCATTTCACTTTCTAAAACATTGACGAGTCTCCATAGATCATAACATTCACTAAATTGAGATTTATTTGAGTAGGCATTAAATTGACGTTTATTTCTTCCAAAATTTAGTACCTTCATATTATATGTTACTTTAAAACCGAAACTTATTTGCACTGATATTACCTTTTTCATTTGGCCCATGTTTGGTGTAGATTATAATTAGATTTTTAGTAGATTTTGATAAATGTTGATGAAGTGTGTGACTGAAGAGTTGTATGACCATGAAATGAGTGGTTAAAATTAATTATTGACTTTGACTTGAGATTTTTATTATATTTTAATGTACACCAAACAGAGGCTTGGATTATGCTACGGATAAACGTTCATATTGATGTTTATATAATTTTCTTGTCTCTTTTATATCTTTCTATGCATGCTGTAATTCTTTCATGATACTACAGTGAAGAAGTAAAATCTGCAGGCCAAGATTCATGGCCTGAGAAACTCTGAATAGATTTGAACAGTAACCAATTTTTGTTACTTGTGATAATGTCAAAGTAAGGATCTAAAGATTGATTCTCTCCATATATTCGTTTCTAGGTAGTTTTCTATGTTAATTTCCTCGTCCCATTGAGCTCACATTCAGAAGGCATAATCTATATCATGCTGAAGATATAAATGTCAGTGTTTTTGAAGAGAGGAAGCTCAGAAGAAGAAAAGAGTGGGAGTCAAAATATTTAGAAGATTGTGTACTAAACTGACTATAGGCTAATTTTGAGGGGGCACATTTGATAAGTGAGTTAACATCCATCTAATAGGGCACAGAAACAAGCTTCCCCTTTAGAAAGTGGAATTAGATGGTAACTCTAATATGCCACCTAATTATATTTTCTTCGTACGGTGGTATGCTTGGATATTGAAGTTTATGAAGTCACTGCAATGTGTATATTTCAGTAGCCATGCAACGTCCTTAGAGTTTGTCATTTGTTTCAGGAATTGAGTGGAGCTTAGATAATGATGCGTCAAATACAGCTGTCTTGGTTGCAAGTGAAGCTCATACAGTAACTTTAGCAATTGAGGGTCTGTTAGGAGTTGTTTTTACTGTGGCCACTTTGACTGACGAAGCAGTGGATGATGGCGAGGTAAGCATGTGAGTAAATTTACTGTCACAATAAGCATTGTTACTCTACCTTTTTCTCTACATCAATTGTTGTATGATCCACTTGCTTGTATGCTATTTTGTCCTGGATCAATCAGATTGAGTCTCCGAGAGGTGATACTGGTCCACCCACAATGTGTACTGGGAAGACTGGAATGCTTTGTGTGGCGATGGTTGATTCAATGTGGTTGATCATACTTGATGCTTTATCCATGATTTTGGCTAAGTATGGTGAAAATATTTATCTAATATTGTTAAAGTATTGAGAAAACCCTATATTTATTATTTGATATGAAATTAATTTTTCAGGTCACAAGGGGAGGCTATTATATTGGAGATATTAAAGGGTTACCAAGCGTTCACTCAGGTAATTAGTGTCTGGACTAGATTCTATATCATTTTATGGCAGCTACTCTGGCATGCCCAGATTTTATAATTTTCTTTTCCGCTTTCTAGATAAAAAATGTTTTCACTGTTGCAGTTCTCCAACATTTCCTCCATATAATTTTTTATTTTTTTATTTTAAATAATATGTATTACCTTCTGCTTGAGCTGTTATGTTTAATATTCTCTCCTATGAATGATGAGTAGTGTGTGTTTGTACAGGCATGTGGGGTTCTTCGTGCGGTGGAACCTCTAAATTCCTTTCTTGCATCGCTTTGCAAATTCACAATCAATATGCCCAGTGAAGTTGAGAAGAAGAGGTAAGTTTGTGTTGAGAAACTTGATGTTTTGCTGGCCTTATTTTGTTTTATATCCTAGATATGCTGTACATGAATGTAATCATTTCTTACTGCAGTAATGTTCTGCTAGTTGTTCTTCACTATTGCTAGCACACTAATGCTTTACGCAACCTGCTGGCATTCCAGATTCACTTAAATTCCTGATTAATATATCCTGGAAAATGGAAAAAGCCCATAATGCTAATTGAATGAATTGCTACTATTTCTTCTCCACTCATCTCTTTTTATTTGTAAATATTTACATGTAAATTTCGTTTACTTATTCTTAAGAGGAGTTGTAACATTGTCCATTATATCGCATTGCTGGAAAGGCAATCAACTGATATCTGCCTTCTCCTAGGGCTCATGAATGTGTGTTTCCTTTCGCAGTTCTCAACTTTATCATTGATTCAATGGTTGGTTCACATCAGGATTGGAAATAGTTTCATATTTAGAATTTCCCGGTTTATTCTAGTTATATTCTTTTATAATTAAAGTCACACTCCTTCAAGAGGCGAGATAATCCAAATTATCTTGTAAGAAAAATGTTGATCGTACAGGCATATCTTGGGCGGACCGGCTGAGTGTTCTTTTTTCCTTTCTATCCAAATAAAAATAGGAAGCTATCCTACCATGTAATGGATTTTTATCTCCTGTAGGCACTAATTTAAAAAAGATTAAGAACATGTGAACACGTTTATCCGTTCAATCTTTAGGAAATTGAATGTTTAAGTTCCTTTTGTTCAATGGCAAATCGGGAAAATCGACCAAAAATTATTCAGATTTGAGGCTGGATAAGTGTACGTATTATAGAGGAAGATGTAAGTTAGATTATGAAGAAAATTAGAATTATCATTCTGTGATCACCGTCAGCATCTGTACTAGGTTGTAATTGCATGAACGAATTCAGAAGTCTTCGAAGCTGTGGTAAGAGTATAATAATTGTCATCTTCTCTAGCTTTCTGTGCTAAATCAATAAAGGATGTGTGTATATTTAGACTAAAAAATAACTATTCCTGCTAGGATATGTATACCGTGTAAAACTAAGTATATGGAGAACTAAACCTAATGCATTTCATCTAGAGTTATAGATATTAATCATAACCCACTTAACTAATTTTAGGTATCGTAATTTAACTGTAATAACCATGACTGAAAATACAAAAACTGGTCAGATATAGTTTTAAATTTATAGGAAAAGTAAAACCTGTTCAATTTCCTTGTTCAATGTAGGAGATATAATCTTGGATTGAACGGAATTGCTGGAGAAGATTGATGTTTCTGTTTTCATTTCTACTGGAAATAAGATGTAGCAATGATTATTTCATTGCCTTCATCACTATGCTATAAAAGAATTGGGGGCTGGGGGAATTTTTATTATTTTGGTCAAAGTTTGGAAATTAATTCAGGGTAAGACAATAATAGATTTCAGATCTCAGTTATTGAGTGTAGGATGCCCCACAGGGTGTGGGAGGTGACAGTGAGATTGGTGAAAGGAAGAAATTCAGGGCTGGAACATGTTTGGGAGCTCCATTAAATATGTTGGCGAACTGTTATAGAAATCATATAGTTTCTACAAAATGGAAAGATAATTTATTCACCAGTGCTATATATTTGTTCTCTAAGCATTTTTGGCAGGTCTACAAGTTTCTAGACATTGATTACGGCCATCTGATGCTCTATAATCAAATGAGTGGTAGAAAATAACCTATTTTATTTGTTGGTTTAAAGGTGAGGGTTGCACCATTTATATGTGATTCTTGGTGTAACTACACCAAAGAATGGTTTCCAAACCTCTGGTGGCTTGGGATAACCAAAGCATTGTGCCCCCTTCTCCCTACTCCATAGCTACGTGATTATTCAAGGATTCCTGTTAGAAATATCCCAAAACAGCTGGTAAGCTCTATCAATTTGGTCAGTATGGTAGGGAGACTTGCTTTGCTGTATCAAGAGCAAAATTATTTTTCTTTTATGTATTGGAGGTAAATAGATTACGTAACGAAAAAGTTTTGTGAGAGTAAGAAAGAAGTCATTGTGCCTTGCATGTGATTGTATGTTTTTTTTTTTTTTAAATGTAATTTGTTTATACAATTTTGTTGCTCCCTTTATCTGATATATAGTTGAGCTGCTGGCTTATCACTGAGTCTTGCAGTGTGATACTATCTCCTGGTTCAAAAAGGACTGATCAATTAGTGGAGCAGAGAGAAAGCATTGTCCTTACTCCAAAAAATGTCCAGGTTTTGTTCCTTCTTTTATTTTGTTATGTTTATATATATATGGTTTATTATTCCAGTGCCAAATCCTTTTTATACTGTTTTTTAACTGCTTCATGATATTCAAAGCTCACATTAACAGGCTTTGAGGACTCTCTTCAACATAACTCATAGATTGCATAATGTATTGGGCCCCTCGTGGGTTTTGGTATGTTTTTATTCCTTCTAAATCTTCTTGGTTTGGAATATCCTGATCCTAAAATTTGTTTCTATATTTTATTTTGAGGTTTTGGAAACTTTAGCTGCTCTTGACCGGGCAATTCATTCTCCACATGCAACGACACAGGTAATAACAAAAATGATATTTTGGTAATAACTTAACACTTATATACTAACATAAGAAATGGCATTATAGTACCATTTTCATGTCATCAATTTTCTTGTTTCATACTAGCCCAAGAGTTTTATGTAGGTTCTTGTAGAGCTATATGTTTTTTGTGGCCCCTGGTAGTGTGAGAGAGGACATTTCAATGTAATCAGGTTCAGTCACAAAATTAACCACTAATAAAAGGTTGTGTCAAGTTAAAAGTAAGACCGTGTAGGAATAAAACACTAGGAAATGACTTAGGGAGGGAGATACAAATTTAAGATTTTGTAGCTTGATGAGATCAAGAAAAACTAAAAATGAAGTTTCCTAAGCTAGAAGGTGAGGAAGGCGTGTTCAAGAAGGATGAGGATATTAAAACTTTTAAGAGAAATCATTTTGTTCATTGGGACTCTACATTGGAAAAATGTACATGATGTGAAGATCAGTGAGTAGTGTGATGCTTTATCTTGAGTTACCAATTAGAAGGAATAAAAATGGTGCTGGTTCTCCCCTGAAACCAAATGATCGGTTAGATAGACCTTTTAGCTACAGGAAATCTAATTTATAACCGAACAATTTCCCCCTATCGCCTGCGACCTCTGCTTTTGTTCAACCCAAGCCTGTGAGGGTTTCTGCAAGCTCCATTGACCCTTTATCTTGCCGACCCATGCCTCGACGACCATTATCTCGTGTGCAACCCATCTCTTGCAATCGCAAAGGTGTCACAACACTCGCATTCGCGATTTCATCTTTCTTGCTTTACTGAGTAAAGCGGTTTATAATTAACTTCTTCATTTCGAAATATTGTTGCTGTAAGGAAGATTGTACTTGGGTTTTTCATTCTTCTCAATGAAATTTCAAACCATAGAGATTGAATTAAATTCTGGATAAGCCTTAAGGGCACAATCATCTAATTGTCATTTGTTTTAATTTGTGGAAACTGCTCTATATTTCCTTTTCTGCCCTTGAACTTAAATTTATGCAAGTTGGTCCATGAGGTTTCCAAGTCTTGCATATTAGTCTTTGAACTTTTTGAAAAGTTAAGTTCAGTCCCAAAAATTTGAGATTTGAGTGAGTTGGTTCTTGTTTTAGAATCTTGGATATTAGTCCATGGACTTAGACTGGTACCACAAAGGGTGACAAAACAATTTCATGCCCTTCTGATACTAAGAATTTTTGTTCTCATCTGACCATTCACGACAGTACTTCACCTATTCATTTTAAGTTGGATGGGGCCAATTACCATGGGGTCTAAAATTTTGGGGAAGAATATTGTGGGTAAGAAAAAGAGCTAAATCATTGTTTTACGTTGATAGTCTCTCAATTCTCGTATATACCTGTGAAATTCAATACTGTGGAAGAACGAAAACCTCCGATGAAGACTCTGGCGTGACCTTCGGTTACTGAGAAATGGAGCTCCCCTCACAATCCAAAATAACTCAGCCACCACACCCCCACACAATCGGCCTCACGCCACAAATCAGATCCTCCGACCAACCAGTTCACACACAGGCGGCGATTTCTGTGGAAACCCTAGAGCCGCCCAATCGATTTCCACCAGTTCCGGCCAGAGTTGGAGCAGACGCGCCTCACCGGCGGCATCAGCAGGGACCGGCGACCCCCGCCGGTGACCTGCCTCCCACACGCGCCGCTCCGGCCGCGCGTCTGCCGGCGCGTGTGGTCCACGCGCCGCCGTCGGGACACCTGCAGCGGCAGCCTGATGCCACGAGATCAATCGGCTTGTCCGTTCTTCCCTTTGATGAATTGCTAATACACAATCAGGGGAAAAAGTTGGCAGATGTGCGTAGTTTGGTATTTAATCATCGTTTCAGAGTGGAGGCGAAGGACTTCGCCGTATCTATTAACGATTTTGGCACAAATTGCAAATTTCACATGAAATAAAACTGAAATAATGTTAAAAATAAAAGTCCATAGTCATGTTAATCTGAATTTATTTATTTTGAATTCCATAATTTCTAGCATCACGACTCTATCGCATCGCCCGTCAACCAACGACTTGTTTTAATTTGTGAGTAGGGAAAATGGTGAGCACATGGGAATACTCAGCAGGACATAACATGGGAATACTCAGTAGGACATAAAAATTAATGATGCAATCCCGAGTAAAAATTTTAAAACATGTACGAGAAAATCATATCGTCTCATATCTTTAGAAACCGATAAGAGCTCTTATCATATCATATCATTTGTACCAGAATGGTCACATCATTCATATTTCATCACATCTTTAGCTTTCATGAGTACAATAATTCGTCAACATGAAAAGAATAATTAAACGGGATAGAATACACTGTACCTCGATATCCTACCCTGTTGGATCGATTAAATTTGAAAGGCAAAAATCAAATTCATGTTCCAAATCTCTATTTTTTGCTTATCGGGATGTGTATCTATATATTCTATTGTGCAAATAATAAACCTTTTTTATGATATTTAAGTTGAAAGGGACAATGAATATTGATAGGTTTAAAAATGTGCAAGGTGACGTTTTCATCCAAGAGTTTCAATCCAAATACCTCATAAAGTCAAAGATGCTTCAACCTTATCAACCTACATATGGCAACCTAATCCTATCAAATCTCAAAAGCAAAAACTAACAAATCATAACCATTCCTTTTTCATTTAACCACACGTGACCACCCCCAATTTGTATACAATATTTTATTTAAATCAAAACCAAAAATAACTTCTAAAACTATAATATCTTGGGGCTAACTCGCCCAATTAAACTTTTTCTCGTGCCTAATATACATGATTAATTACGAACTATCCAACGAGTACAATATTGATATATTTATCATTACTCTATAATTATTTAAATATTTAACCCAATTAAAATTGAATTTAATATATTTATCATTTTAGTCCCCAAACTTTCCAAATTTAAGGTATAGTATATTAAATAACTAAATTCTAGTATGTGAAAATTTTCGGGACCTTACAGTTTTTATATTTAATAAGTGCTTTTAAAAGAAAAAAATGGAGGCCCACGATTTTTCTCCTTTGCTGAAAGCTCTTTTACTAGTGAAAGGCACGTTATTTAACAAGCTTTGCCAACCTACTGAACTAAAATGGAAAATACTGTCTAATAAGTAAAATCCATTGAATTGAAATTACACAATTTGCTCTCAGCTATGATACATACAAGTATAAAAGAATTAGAATATTAATGTGATTAATATTGAGATAAGTTTCACTAGAAGTCACTTTGCTTCGAGTAACATTTTCTTCCCAATTTCCTTTTCCCACGTCGTACAGTTTGTCCTTACTAATGATTTTCATCCAAAACGTCTATTCAGTCGTGTAAAAAAAGATGAAACTGCCCTTTAATTAAATAAACAAACTTAAAAAAATAACACATACAAATATAGAAAAGAAGAATAAAAGGAAAACTTAAATATTCCTTTCCTTCCCCAGCAAACCCCAGTACCATGTTGAACCACAATCAGCCCCACCTATCTTCTTATTGACGTGTTACGGCCATAGGAGATGGACGTCGCTATCGATTATGTAACAGATCAAAGAAAAACATCAACAATACTTTTAAACTCACAATATGCGTATGTTTCATTGTCGAGGGGACAAAATGGTAATTCCATCAAATTAATTGGTATGGTATGGTGGTTAGAGGACGACGGTTTCATTCACTTCTTTTTTTCTTAAGTGGTAAAAAAAACTCAAAGGAATATATGATTTTAAGAGTACACAGCTTTAATTTTCGAATGCAACATGAACAACTTATGGTCTTTGATCTCATTCCTATTACATTTGGACTTAAACAAGTAACAAAAGATAAAGAAAAATCGGGCACCTTTATTAGATTCCAAAATTGCATCCATTTTAATCATAGAAAGCTTCTTATATAGTAATAAAAAGATAAATAATTGAATAAAGCCCATTGTAGGGATCCCAATTGGCTGTAATCTTCTAAGAAAATATCACCACGAAAATTAATTCAATTAATTATGGTGGTGTAGTAGTTTTGATTCTTAAAAATTATTAGATGGGTTGGTGGTGGTGGCTGAGCTTGTGGAGGTGGTGAGGTTGGGTGGGGGGCGCCATGTGGTGTTAGGGAGGTTATTGTGGTATGATTTTTCATGGTTGTAGGCTTGCTTTTACGATGTATAGTGCCAACAGGTCGCTTACGGTAAGGTCGAGTGGTGGTTGTGAGGTTGGAGAAATGAGGTTTATTGGGAAAGTTTAGTTTTTTCTTTTATTCTTCTTTCTTATGTATTATATTTATTTAATTTGGGTAATTTCGTCTTTTTATGCGACCTTAACAGACTATTTTGGCAAAAATCGTTATTAGGGATGAGCTATGCTAATTATCATAAAGTTAATGAGGAAAAATCTTGCAATTTATCTCTTACTATTAATAAAAGTATAACATTTTTAACAGTGGAAAGTATAAAATCTGTGTGAGATACCTATAGTGTAGTTGAAATTAATCACAAAAAATGTTTTCAGAAGTAGGAACGATTTGTGCTAGCATGGGATGTTTAAAGCGTACATATCTAGGTACACACATAACACATACCAAAAAGTTGGTGACAAAACAAAATTTGTTGCAAATATGCGATGTGAACTTGTTCTGTATCAATGAGTGTCGAAATTTTGTGAAAGAATTGTCCAACATCAAATTATTTCCACCATTAGATTTTAGAACCTTGTGACGCTTTTGCATCTATTTGTGGGTGTTTTGCAGGAAGGGTGGGGGGTAGGGTGGTGGTTATGAATTGGCTGACTTTAATGGATGAAAGTGTCTAAACTTTTTCTTTTCACGTGCAGGTAAATGAACTTAGCATGGTCCAAGTAATGGCATTAAGCAGTTGTGAAGTTTTTGCACTGATATTGAGTAGGTCAAAAATTGCCAATTGTAATCTTGTAGGAGGTCTCCGTAGCTGTCCAAAAGCTTACAAGGGATTCTTCTGGGCAGTACAGTGATTTTCATATTCTCTCTTCGCTTAATTCTCAGGTATGTTTGAATGGCTTTTTATCTATATTTTGTTTCAATTATATAACAATATATCGATGGTGCTCACCTCGCTGTCCCTGCACCCAAAACATAGCTTTTCAAGAGCTCAGCACTGATGCATGTATCGGCCGTTCGATCACTTCTTTCTGCACTACGTCAGTTGTCACATCAATGTATGGCTGCAACTTTAGGTGCTACTGGACAAGCATCGAATCGAAATATTGGAAGAATTAGTTTTTCAGTGGAAAGAATGCTCTCTATCCTTGTCAATAATCTTCATAGTATGTTCTGAAAACTAGTTCTCAAGTGCTTTTATATGTTCTGAAAACTAGTTCTCAAGTGCTTTTATTATTCTTCTTTGTTTATGTTTCTTTAAGGATTCACGGATAAAAACTATAGCACTTTCGCATAGATTCTGGTAATTTACTGAATTCTTGTGCCGGGTATATTATTTTTTGATTTTGCTGTTGCATTAAAAAAATCAACTTTCTTTTTAAAGTGCACCTGAGTGTTTTTCATCAGCTGAGAAAAAAATTGCGAACAATGACAAGACAGACAGAGGTAGGTAGAAAAACACTCGAGCAACTATCAAGCTATGGAGCTTCACTTTTTCTTTCCACAGCTTGAGTTGAGGAAGGGTTGGTGGTGGTTATATGAGTTTTAAGTGGCAAAGGAAAAAAATATTTTGCTGAAAAACTGAAGGTTATTGGTCAAGATTGGATTGGATTTGAGCTTGTTTTGTGATCTTTAACCTTGGATTTTTATATTCAACTGAGTGAGTGACAAAATTAGAGACTTTGCTGGAAAATCTGTGGCGACCTGAATCTTTAACGATTCGATGTGTCACTAAATCATAAGCTAAAACTAATTTAAAGAATATTTAACACAATCATATAAATTATTAAAGCATTCACCAAAATTCAAATAATGTAACAAGTTTAATAAATTAACTCGAAACAAAAAATATCTTAAAATATTTAAAATCAAATAAAATAATAATAGTTTGATGACGTAATAATTTTATTATTGAAATTTTTAACACCATAAGCCATCTCCGTGCCGACTGTCTTGAATTGTCAATTATTTGAAAGTAGAGATGCGTGAGAATAATTCTCAATAAGCCTGTGTGAATAATGAATTCATATATGTATTTCTATGGAAAATTCATAACTTACATAGGGAGATACGAAAATTAAATCAAACTTATATGGTGCTAAATTTTCGTGCGTAGCGCTATTAAACTCTTGTCCATTCTTAATAAAACATACATAACATGGACCAAACATAACATAGCCGTAGAAATATTACATACATAAACATAGCCATTATAAACATAAATTACAACTTACCTTTTCACTGGATAATTCAGAATGATAAAATAAGCCATTGCTGTAAAGAGATCCTTTAGTTGTGTGTGGAGTTAATTATTCACGTGTGATTGTACCAAGTGTACAACTATATTTATTATAGGAAGTGATGAGACAAAGTTATAGAGGTAGAGATGGAGAGAGTGTGAAATAGTTGTTGAGGGGTAATTTCATGTTGGGTTTATCTCCTATTTTTAGTGAAAATTCTTAACCATGTGTATAAAAGTGAAAGAAAATGGCTAGATGTTAGGCATGGTAAATGCATAAATGGTGTATTGTCTTGAAAATAGTCAAATCAATACCTTTAATTATGTGGTCAAATCAATTCACTTAACTTGAAACTCGGTGTAAATAATGCACGCCGTTAAATTAATTTTCTTTATTTACGTGGTCAAATCAATTACATTAGGCTGAAATGTGGCGTGAATAATGCATGTGATCAATAATCATCTTTAATCAAGACCAATTGGCATATTTACATATGTTTTATGCATGATTTCATCTAACTTCCAAAATAACTTTTTACTTAGGCCCTCAAATTATTGGTCAATAACTAATAAGGTCATTAGATTGGAGCAATAATCAACAAGGTCATTAAACTTTAATAATAACGCATTTAAGTCCTAAATTTAAATTTAACTAGTAGTAAAAATTTGGGACATTGCAAAATCTGTGTTCCATTTCTCTATTTTTGAAATATATGGAGTACACGGCATCAATTACATTCATTAGAATACCTAAGTACCTACTAATTACAGTCTAGGTTATATATGGATAGTCTTAATTACAATTGAAATTCCTCTATTTACAGCCTATAAGGAATGTTCTATCATAGTCAGCAATCATAGGCAGTTAGCATTGACAATCATAGACAGCTTGTGTTGACAGTGAGAACCTCAGCAGGTAGAGCAAGATTAAATTCAACCTAAGATCATGTTTAGCATCTTTATTTCTAGCTCAGCTTGGCTAGTTAGGACCGCTAGTGCAAATATTACCTTCAAGTGTTATAGCTGAAAGGAACCATGTCTAGTCGAATATCTGACCTGTGGTATTATATATTGTATGACAGGGATTGAACCATTATGGGACGAAGTTGTTGGTCATTTTCTTGAGGTAATTTTTGTAATCTGTTTTTGGCCATATGATAGTCATAAACATTATGATAACTCTGACATATTTTACAGCTGGCTGATAGTTCTAACGATAATTTGTGGAATATTGGGCTTGATGCATTGGATAAATCCATATGTGCTGTTTTGGGTTCTGACCAGTTTCAGGAATCTACATCATTGAAACTTGGTGATGCATCAACTAATGTGAGGACTTCATCTCTTTAAGCCATGTTTTGACCCACTTGATTTAACAACTTAAGCTCGTAGATAGGGTTAAATATATGTTTAAATATTGTCTTCAATGTGGCCCTCACGTGTAAGTGGGGTTCATTTTTTTCCTATCAAAGCTTAAGACATGCACAATACATATAACTGGGTTATAGCGAGACTTGACGCTAATTCCTTTGCTTTCTCTGATTTCATATTGAACCACTTGATCTAATTATCTATTAGATAGGGTCCCATACACATCATTTAACTATTTTCTTCAATACTATGAACATGGAATCTCATTGGCAAATCTTCTTGAAGCAAACTGATATATCAGACTTGAGGTCACTGGAATGTGCTGTCATCTCGCCATTGAAAGTTCTTTACTCCTCATCTGAAAGTATTGATCTTCGTGTTGGTTCTCTAAAGATTCTTCTGCATGTTTTAGAGGTAAGTTTTTATCCTTTGTCTGAAACTGATCTCTCTCTCTCTCTCTCTCTCTCTCTCTCTCTCTCTCTATATATATATATATATATATATATATATATATATATATATATATTTTTTTTTTTAGGCTGGGGCTCAGCTCGGGTAAAATGTCCGAGCTTTTTTCGGGCCCAAACCGACCCGAGCAAAAGCTCGACAAAAAAAATTAGGTAACCGATCAAAAAATCAATTCTCAAAATCACTCTCATACAGACTCTATATATATATATATATATATATATGTTATTTTTATTTTCTATTATTTTTGATTTTACAATTTCATCTTTCTAGAGACATGGAGAGAAATTGTGCTATAGCTGGCCAAATATTCTTGATATGTTAAGGTAGTCATTTTGGTTGCTTAATAACTTTTACTTTCTGTACATTGAAAGGTTTATTAACTGTTTCAATTACGTTGCCAGGTCTGTAGCTCATTCATCAGAGAAGGATCTCATCACACTTGGGTTTCAGGTGAGAAAAGCTAGTATCAATTTGAAAGATGTGACCCGCTTATTATTGATTGGGCCTCCTCTTTTCTAGAGTGGAATAAATTCACTTTCTGTGTGTTTCATTCTTTAATCATATTAAATTGAAAATTATTGTAAAGCAATGTAGAAAAAGACTCGAGAAAAGAGGAAATTTGCATCATATGTAACCAACAGAATGTGTATCATATTTGTCATGCAGATTGTTGCAATAGGTTAAAGACAATTATTTAATTTCACTATTTTGTTGAATTCCCTTTTTCATGACAATCAAAGAGAAGAAGATACCTGAGGAAAAATAAAATAGGAAAGAGAAACGAAAAATGAAAATATTAGGGTGGAAGATGGGAAACGAGTAATGTGAATTTTATATTTTCCTCGGTGTCTAAAATTTTACTTTCACAAATACATGATATCAAATGATATTGTGTTTAGAAACTAATCCAGGCTCAGCTGATCATTCTACAAAACAGTCTTGTGCAATGAGCTTTTAAACTGAATAGTGCGCCTTTCTTTTAACTCCAGCCCCTAATTCTTATATCATTTTAGAGTTGGATGATGAAAATACAACTTACCTATGAACCCAGTTTTATTAAGGAAGGCTACTGTATGTTTCCCAGTAATTATATTCATGTTACAACCATTAGCTCTCCAATGGTGAGCTCCTTTGAAGCAGTCAATTTTACAAATCATGTTCTCTGCAATAGAAAGTAAATAAGAAAAAAAAAAAAGGAAAAAAAAAAAAAAAAAAAAAAAAAAAAAAAAATAAGAAAAAAAAAAAAGGAAAAAAAAAAAAAAAAAAAAAAAAGAGAAAATTTATATGTACTCTGCTTATGTTGGATAGTCTCTAAAAGTTAATTAGCCAAAACAGTCTTTCAATTTCATTTGCCAATTAACTATTTTACTTATATTTAGGGAAGAAGAAACCAAATAAAATTAGACACCTCAAACTAGTCATCATTTATTTTTTGCGTCCAGTCCTTTTTATGCATTTACACTTTTGGAGAAGGGCCTGTTACGTCCATGAGAATTATTTTGGTTGCGTCCAGTCCTTTTTATGCATTTACACTTTTGGAGAAGGGCCAGTTACGTCCATGAGAATTATTTTGGTTGTTAGCTCTGCGGATCTGTTAGATTTGGACCGAAGTTACTGGTTTAAGACTTATGTTGGATTAATGTTTCATAATTTGAAGTTAATAGATGTTGACAGGCGGTGGTTGGGTGTCTCTCAAACTCTAAAGGGTAAAATTGCCCAGGGATTTGTGTGGAGTAAATGAGTATACAATCTGATGATGTCTGATACAATATGCTATGAAACAGAAAGACCAAGTTACTGAACAAAAGTTTGTTATTTATTTATTTTTTTGAATAAGATAACTTCTCTCTTCTATTTTCTCCTCTTTCATCTTTTGTTTATATTTCAGTTTCATTGAAATTCTCTCTGATTTTATGCATTTTAGTCCTCAAAAGTATTTCACCTGCCAATCATATGTTTAGCCAATGGATTTTTAGGGCAGAGTACACCAGTAAGGACCCAATTGCTATAAAAATGAAAGGTTGGGGACCCAAATACCTATAAAAATTTGTTGGGGGTTCCAAGTGCTCTATTATGTATAGGTTGGGAAGTCTGATTTTATTTTCCCAACCTTTTATTATGCCAATTCCTTTTCACCCTATCGACTTTCAGCATGTTTACATAAAAGTTACTTCTTTTTTTTTTTTTTTTTTTTTTTTTTTTTAAAAAAAAAAAAAAAAAAAAAAAAAAAAAAAAAAAAAAAAAAAAAAAAAAAAAAAAAAAAAAAAAATTTTTTTTTTTTTTTTTTTTTTTTTTTTTTTTTAAATAAGAAAAAGGGTTACCTTTTGAGGTTAAAATTACTTTCAAAACAAGTTACTTTATTATTTACTTATAAGTAAACTTTGTGAACTAAGCCAAATATGAATTTGTCTTCACTCTGTCTGTCTCCTTTTTTGCACTCCATTTTCTAGCTTTTGCTGTTTATATGGTAGCGGTGCCCTTTTTCTCGATCACCATTAATCTTCTATAGTCATTTTTCCATTTTTGCAACTGTTGTAGATGATTTATACCAAAACCAGTTAACTTCTTTGCATATTCTTTCCCTTGTCTGACTAAGTAAGATCTGCAAACATTTTTTAACTTTCGTATTCAAACACAAAACTGAACCGTTGGATTAGATAATGCTTATATTGATACAAAAATTTACTGGGGAACTTTAGTCTGTATATTAAAGGAATTGCTAAAATTTAAAGAATATACTCACTGCTGGATCATTTTTAGAATGATATTGAATATTAAGATTGAAGGGTGAAAAGAGGATGAAAAATAACAGATCATATTGAATATTATGATTGAATAATGAAAATATGATAACGGAACAGACTTGAGGAGGCATACAATATGTTGTGAAAATTTGTCTTGCTGAAAATGTTATCACAACGGTTTTAGTGGTGACATAGTCTTCAAGAGGACTTGGTTAAGGTTTCAGTTCTTATGATTGACTTATGAAAAAGAATAACCAGCTTTTTGGAAGTAAGTATATGCAACAACGTAACTAAAGAAAATTATGATAACTATGACCTATTTTAGACTCATGTTTAGTGGATTAGCATAGCACGCCATCAACTAACAACCTTAGCTGTAAGGATAGTAGGATTGGGCAATGTAGGATGATGGGCTTGTTATGGCTTCAATGTGTCAATGTCTGTCATGGTATCAAAGTCTATCTCGTAGAATTTACGCTAAATCTTCGATTTTCATTTGGTATAACTCAACCTCTCAGGTGTGAATTTCTTGTGGTGATCCATAGTTAGCAGAATTTTGTGACGTGTGACTCTTATGGTTGGTGGTTGACGGTTGATTGAATTTTTGTCAACGTAGGACTCTTGTAGTGGTCGATGGTTGACAGATTTTTTTGTCAATGTGTGACTTGTGATGATTGATGGTTGACAGAATTTTTATCGTGACTCTTCAGCGCGTTGAGTGTGGTGCAGTTCTGCCATCACCCTTTGTCGTTGGCCTATTGATTGTGATGTGATAAGTCTCGGATTGGAAGGCAATAGGCGGTGATGTCTAATATTTTGGTGAAGTGGTGGTGGGTATGTAGGGTGCGAATGGTCAGTATGGAAGGATTGTAGGCAGTTGACTAGAGGTGGCTATTGACTCTAATGCAGGTTGCAGTGGCTGATTGGTGCTTGGCAACATAGTGTCACAGTTTAGGATTGGAGGGTGAAGAAGGTAGTTTTACAATTGTTTCCATTTTTCAATGAGCGACATTATACCTCTCGTTTACATAATATCACCTTTAATCTCTATATACGACCTATACCCTCTATCTCTGAAATGAGAGTTCCACTTGAAATTGGGAACTATATTAGGGTTTCAAATTGCAAACTCTAGAGGGTAAATCAAGAAACTTTAGACCCCACATCAAGTTTCAAACCTTAAACCCTTTATTCTGTGGGAAAAAGGGGAAAAATTTCATTCATAAACCCCGTCTAGATTTCATGGAAGACATAATCGGAGGAGCCAATTTGACTGCTTTTTGGCCAACTATTTTTCTAGCCGTCTATTGTTACTATGATACATTTTTTGCCCTATTTTTTTCCTGCCGTCCAGTGTCAATCACTGTTGTTGTGAATTGAAGGAGAGTGCATTGTCTTCTTTTGTTGTTGATTCTTGTTGTCAATGTTACCGTATATGGTTAGATTTATATTTGGGAAGAAAGGATTTTTAGGAATTAAGTTTATTAACTTGTATATTCAATGATTGTACTATATACACACAATAGAGACAACAATGGAATAATACGTTTTTTACAAAAGTTCTCTCAATTATTCGGCCTTTGTGACATGGTATCAGAGCAAGGGTTCTAACTTCTTACCAGCTATGATTTTCTGTTTGCGTTCTTCCTTACTATGGGTTCTCTTCTCTCAGACATTCCTATTTCGGTGTTGGGGCTGGTTGTTGTTATATTGGATGTGTGATTCCTAGCCCTTCTTCGATGTCTTTCCTGTTCCCGTATTCTTCTACAGCTTTTCGATTCTGGCGAGTGGTCTCTCTCGAAATCTTGGTTGGGTTCTACCTTTGATTGTTGGATACATACCGTCTTCTTCGGTTCAGCAGCTTGGACGGTGGATCTATAGTTCTTGTGTGTGTATTGTGGCCTTCGGTCGACAGCTTCTTTGTTGTGTAGTTGGTATTTAATCATTTGGGCATTTGCTTAGTTATTTAATTTTGGGCCAACTCTTAGTTAATTTTTTGTTCCATTGCTGGGCTTTGCGGTTTGTAGTGTGATTTGTGGTGTGGGTCTCTTTATTGGGTTGAATATTTTATTCCATCATGTCATTTGACAAGTTAGACTCATTCCTAATTCGTTTTAATGGGAAAAATTACTTGGCTTAGGAGTTCCAATTTCAATTAGTTGTCAAAGGAAAAGAGCTATAGGATCATCTTGATGGAAGTGATCCCGCTTCAAAAGATGTTAAGGTTTTGTCGACGTGGGAAATCAAGGATGCTCAAGTCATGACCTGGATCCTTAGTTTAGTTGAGTCTCACCCCATTCTCAATCTGAGGCCTTACAAAACTGCTGCTGATATGTGGGCTTATCTTAGTAAAGTGTACAAATAGGACAATACCGCTCAACGTTTTCAATTGGAGTATGAGATGGCTAATTTTACATAGGGAAGTCCATCGATTGAAGAATATTTTTCAGGTTTTCAAAATCTTTAGGTTGAATATTCAGATATTGTTTATGCTAATGTTCTTCCTGCAGCTCTATTTGCTGTTCAAACAGTGCATGAGACAAGCAAGAGAGATCAATTCTTGATGAAGTTATGTCCCGATTTTGAGGCTACACAATCTAATCTGATGAATCGTCATTCTGTACCATCTCAGGATACTTGTTTGGGTAAACTTCGTGAGGAGCAACGTATAGTTACCCAGGCTACCATGGAACATAGGGATACTGTTAGTGGTCTTGTTATTGTGGTTTATACAGCACAAGAGAGGAATAAAAGTAGAGACGTGTGCTGTCCAGTGCCATAACTGTAGAGGTTTTGGTCACATTGCTCGAGATTGTCCTAAGAAACACTGTCGTTACTGCAAGAAACCAGGTCATCACATCTGTGTTTGTCCCATTCGACCTGAAAAGAAGCATACTGCTGCCTATCATGCCTCCATTGATGCCTTTGGCTCTGCGATATTGCCCACTGCCTCACACGTTGTTCCTAATCCCACTTCTGCATCCACCCTCAGCCCTGAAATGGTACAAATGATGATCAATTCTGCTTTCTCTACTTTTGAACTCTCTGATAATACAGCATCTTCCAAGCTATGGTTCTTTGACACCGGAGCCTTTAACCACATGACCAATACCGTTAGTCCTCTTTCCAATGTAAGAGAATATGGTGGCAATCTAAAAATTCACATCGCTAATGACATTCTCTGCCTATCAGCGTTGTTGGTGATCTTTCCTCTTTACTAATGTTTTTGTGTCTCCTAACCTCTCTACAAATTTAATTTCGGTTGGTCAGTTAGTTGATAACAATTAAGATGTTCATTTCTCTCGCTCTAGTTATGTTGTATAGGATCAGGCGTCCGAGAAGATCGCGACGGGGCCTAAAGTGGGACGACTCTTTCCCTTGCATATTTCTCATTTCCCTAGTTCTCCTTTACTTTCCGTTGCATGTAATGCTATTAGTACCGATGATAAATTGTGGCATAAATGTTTAGGCGACCCGAACTCTGATGTACTTCGTACTTTATTTCATTCTGATTTATTGGGTAATAAAGCATGTTCTTTTGATTGTACTACATGCAAAATTGGCAAAAGTAAAGGTTTACCTTTTCTCTCTCATGGATCTTGTACCTCACAATGTTTCGATATTATTCATAGTGATGTTTGGGGATTTCACCTATTATCTCTCACGCACGTTATAAGTGCTTTGTTACATTTATTGGTGATTTTAGTCGCTTTACTTGGGTTTATTTTTTAAGGGCCAAAGTCGAGGTTTTTTCAATTTTTAAGCGTTTCCTTGCTTTTCTTGAGACTCAATTTTCTAGTGGCATAAAGATCTTGCGATATCATTCTGGAGGGGAATATATGTTTAATGAGTCTCAGGACTTTTTCCAAAACAACGGATTATCTCCCAGGAGACATTTGCTCCTATTGCCAAAATGATCACCGTGCGGACAGTCTTAGCTATTGTTGCTTCCCAGACATGGAAACTCCATTAGTTGGATGTAAAGAATGCATTTTTTCATGGTGATTTTCATGAGGTAATTTATATGAAGCTTCCTTTGGTATGACTACTATTCCTCATGATGTATGTAGACTACGACGTTTTCTGTATGGGCTCAAGCAGGCCTCTCAGGCTTGGTTTGAGAAATTTCGTAGCACACTTATTACCTTTAGTTTTGCATAGAGTCAGTATGATTCTTCTCTTTTCTTCCACAAATCTGCCTCGAGTATTGTACTTCTTTTGGTTTACGTGGATGACATCATCCTTACTAGCACGGACTGTGGTTTCATTTTGAAGCTTCAACAGTTATTGCATGCCACTTTTCACATGAAAGATCTTGGTCAACTCACATACTTCTTGGGCCTAGAAGTTCATCATCGGGATCAAGGTATTTTCATAGACGAGCATAAGTATGTTCAGGATCTTATTGCGCTGGCTGGGTTTAAGGATTCTTCATCTTCTATAGATACCCCTATGGAAGTCAAATGTAAAGTACAGGAAAGACGAAGGGGATCTTCTCGAAGACCCTACTCTATAACGTCTTCTAGTTGGGAGTTTTATCTATTTGACCACTACTTGCCTAGATATTTCATATGCCATCCATCAAGTCAGCCAATTTATGTCTTTGCCTCGGCATCTTCATCTTGCGGCTGTTCGTCGTATTGTTCGCTATTTTCGTGGATCATTTACTCGTGGATTGTTCTTGCCTAGAGGATCTTCTCTTAAATTCTTACAGTGATGCTGATTGGGCTGGTTGTCCAGATACGCTTCATTCTACTATGGGTTGGTGTAAGTTATTGGTTGATGCATTGATCTCTTGAAAACGTAAGAAAGAAGATTATGTTTCTAAATCATTTACTGAGGCTGAGTATCGTACCATGTCTTTAGCTTGTTCTAAGATTATTTGGTTACTTGGTCTTCTAGTGGAGCTTGGGTTTCCTCACACTCTTTTTATTCCTCTCTATGCGGACAACAATAGTGCTATTCAGATTGCAGGCAATCTCGTCTTTCATGAGCACACCAAACACATTTAGGTTGATTGTCACTTTATTCGTGACACTTTGAAAGATCAAGTGATATTCCTTCCTTCCATTTCATCTGATCTTCAGGTGGCAGATATTTTCAACACAGCAATGGCTTGACTACGGCATCAATTCCTTGTTGGCAAATTGACGCTGGTTGATCTCCTAGCATCAATTTGAGGGGGATGTACATCCGTATAAAGTTAGATTTATATTTGGGAAGAGAAGAATTTTAGGAATTATGTTTATTTATTTTCCTTGTATATTCAATGATTGTACTATATATATACACAATAGAGACAACAATGGAATAACATGTTTTTCAGAAATTCTCTCAATTATTCGGCCTTTTTGACTGTCAAATTTTTGAGGTTGGACTTTTGTTTTGTCTCTATTGAGGGCTGATTATTTTTCCTTTAGATTCTGCTTAAATTCTACTAAGACCTAACTAAAGTACTGGTTTTCAGCAATCTGGGCCTTCAAATTTGAGTTTTAGGTTATTTGGAGTGTTGCATGTTATTTGGGTTAATTATGTGGTTGGGCCTAGGTTAATGGGCTAATGGTTATTGGGTTGGTATGGTTTAGTGTTTTGATGGATGGATTGTGGCCTATGCATGTGGTTATTTTTGGGCTGCCCATTGGAGTTGTGCCTTTCAATTCTTTTGTACATCAATTGACAAACTGATTCTTTTTGATCATCCAACATCAATTTGAGGGAGATGTCAATGAGATCAACAATGATCATGAAGATTGACGAAGATCACAAAAATTATAACCTAACATAATTATGTATAGAATTGTATTTACCATATTTAGGTTGATTACATGTACCATATTTAGATTGATATCATAGTTGTGGGAAGGTAATAATCTTCCTATATAATGCAAGGAATCCCTTAAAAGAAGATCGTTTAGTCAAAAGTTTGTCACAGTGATGTACTTAAAGCGTGGTTAATATCCCTTGGTTTATTATATCCTCTAGAAGCATTAATAGTTTATCTTTGGATTTCCTCCGCAACTAGTGATGTTTCTAGTACTAGGTACGAAGAATGAATATGTATTTGAACTGTTACAGGTGATTCTGAGATCCATTTAGTATTCAAGTAAATGAAGAGGCTGTGCTTTGTAAAAACGTTCTATATTGAGCATTGTAGCATCTAATCTGTATTTCAAGGGAAGTTTTGTTGAAGTCTTGTCAGTTTGTAGAATCTGATATCTGCATATCAAGAGAAGTTTTGTTGTACTCTCATCAGTTTGTTTCCTAAACTCCTAGAAAATAGGTGGAACCATCAAGGAAAATGTCTCTCTCATTTTTTATTTTTTGTTTATATATATATATTTTAAGGACAATAGAAATGTCTATTATTTTTGTTGATTTTGTGATATATTTTTATATTTTTCTGTTAAGTCTGGCACCCTGTAATGATTCTACGGTGCATTGATCACCAATTAAGTATTTGAATCGGTTGAGGTCGAGTATAAACCTGATTCACTGGGAGCTATCCTTCATCTGTTCATTTTAGGTGCTTCCACCATTAGAAGTGTCAAATCCATCATGCTTTAAGGACAATAGAAATGTCTATTATTTTTGTTGATTTTGTGATATATTTTTATATTTTTCTGTTAAGTCTGGCACCCTGTAATGATTCTACGGTGCATTGATCACCAATTAAGTATTTGAATCGGTTGAGGTCAAGTATAAACCTGATTCACTGGGAGCTATCCTTCATCTGTTCATTTTAGGTGCTTCCACCATTAGAAGTGTCAAATCCATCATGCGTCATGTAGTTCATCCTCCATTGTTAACTTCTATGTTATGCTTTAATATTCCTTAAACCTCTGACAAGTTTTACATAGGATGATCCTTTTCACTAGAGTATCATGTATGATGATCCATCTTGTATGCATACATTTTGTAATATTATTTATTTCTTTTGTTTGTCCCGTAATTAAATTGTTATTAGATCTATATGTTCCTGCCGTTTTCTTGATCTGCATCGAGTCTTCTAACTAATGTACATTTTTCTATGTAGAGCCTTCGTGTCATCATGAATGATGGACTTGCCACCGTTCCTGCTGAATGCCTCCATGTGTAGGTTATCATTATGCCTTAATTTTTATTTTTTTAATTTGTGATAGTATATGCTTGCTATGTCATTGTATGCATGTTAAGTGTTTAGATAAATTTACGTGTGTATATGGATCATCAGGTCAAATATATCAAGGGAGACACTTGTGGGTTTGAAAGATAATTTGAATCAATATTTCCTGTTGTTAAAGGATTAGAGTTGTCTCATTTTATAGCATAATGGATGCTAAAGATAGTGACAATTGATGAAAGCTGGACAACGATGATGCTCATATTATGTTTATTTGTTGTCAATGTACTAGTTAAAGGATATGGTTCTCTTGAACTATAGAAGATGGGTTTGATGGATTTTAGCTGCCAAATGCTTATTGGAGAAAAAGAAGGTGTGGGAGAGGATCAGAACATATCTTCTTGTGTTTCATAGTCACTATCATAATGGAATTAGGATATCTAAGAGTCTATACAATAAATTTTGGACGTAATTTCTAGTATACTATCTCTTTAATTTTGTGTGGTGTAATGGTGAGATCCGTTAGCTCCTCTTGGACGGAGTCTTACCCAGTTTTAATGTCTGATATGGTTTTTTTTCTTTCTTCCAGTCTTCTACTTGTGATTCTGTTGATTTTATTTATAGTTCAACAGCCGTTAATTCTCTTGTTAGAGGCTGTCCTGCATTTGACATAGTAAGGTTGATCTTGGCTACAGCATTCTTTCCTACAGCAGTTGACGACTGGTATGAAATTTGAAACTGGGTTACAAGCATAACTTCTATAATCCTGAAACAAGTCCAACGTTTATCTAGGAGATTTCCATCATAGAATAACCTCTTTAAAGATCATAGGGAAACATGGAATAGTACCTTAACTTTGGCTGTAATTCTTCTATTAACCGTACTTCAGGTTGATTTCTATGTGAAATTATGCAGGAATTGAAGCCTAAACAGCCTGTAAATCTTGTGTCATTCCCCAAATCTTCTCAAGTTAGTAAGACGGTGTTTTTTTTGCATAACACACGAGAAATTGAAGAGGGCATGTAGAAAAATATATCCTACCAATGAATATTATGAAAATGCAGGAATATTTTAATGCTGCTTTTTATAATTTAAAGAACTTAATTCTGTTATACTATTTCCAATGGAAGATTCTTACTGGACTTATAAAATGAATTTTCTTGACTTATGGTCCATTCCTGCTTTTATACTTAAGACAAAATTCTTAGTGTCTTTAGGCCTATATTTGATGCAGAGATTTTTCTATGATCATGGACAAGATAGATTATGATACTGGTTTACCTATCCTAGGACCTTAAATTCTGCAATTAGAAGATCATACTAAGTGGGAAGTTAATAATGAATTCGTCCTACACAATCTGGGGGTTTCATATATTTTTGGTGATCTACCAAGAATTTTCGCCTCGGTCAAGTTTCTATTAGCCGGGGAGGAATGGATGTGTAGAGTCTTTAAAAGCTTTTCCTTAAAGAAGAAACATGGAGAATAACCAAATAATATTACTTGGGTAATTTGGTGATAACAAGCTAGGGGCACTTTGGTAATTTGATCAGCTCTGCATATTCCGCATTTATAATTCTGTCTGGAATTGTAATTCTTTTAAGCATTTTCTGATCACCTTTTTTAGCTTGAATTGGGCCATGAATTAATCAGTAGTCAAATCCTTGTTCAAGTGAAAGTTTCTTAGTTCTATTTTATTCTTGGTCATTTTCCTAATGGAAATAAGATGCAAGTCTATAAAAGTCAAACAAAAATAGCTCTTTCCTGCAGTTCACTGTCCTAATAGAATTAGAATATCGAATAATTTCTCTTCTTCTTCTTCCACAAAATGACCACTTGTAGGTGTAATTTTGAAAAGATAACACAACTCTTATTTGACTCATGCTCATCTGGTTTGTTTCCATAGATGTATTGATGTTGCTGGAGCATACAGTGCGCAGAAGACAGAGTTGAATATTAGTTTGACAGCTGTAGGCCTTTTGTGGACGTCTACAGATTTTATTGTGAAGGGGCTAATGCATGGAACTGAAGATGCAGAAACAGGTTTAGCATCAGCCTTATATAACTGGCGGTTCTTAGTTGTTCCTTGACAAGTTATAGAGATAGGTTTATTTCCCTGTATTTTGTTTTTGGGAAACTATCACTTTACTTTGATTCCAGATGAAAGAAACAGCGAAAAGGGGGAAGAACAGACTCTTGATTCGGATAATGAAGTTAATAATCATACATCTTTGTTGAATATTCTTGATGGCGACAAATTGTTGCTTTCCATTTTTGCGCTGCTTCAAAAGTTGGTAGCTGATGAGAGACCAGAGGTACAATTTTTCTTTGTACATTGAAGGCTTGTTTGTCAAAGATTTTTATAACTTTTCCTACTTTATCCATGCATTCTCCCAAAAAAAATAAAAAATAAAAATAAAATTCAATTTTCCTTGAAAAGATCTGTGCTAGACAAGCTTTAAGTTTTGCTGTGTTTTATCAATTTCCTAGTTACAACACAATTTCTATATAGGGATGTCTCACATAGGGTTGAAAGAAAACTATATTATGTTTTCTGGAATGAAGATTATCCAATGCTTGGATTGTCGTGGTTATGGTTAATAAAGCTGGGGAGAGGGAGAGAAGATAGGTCACAATATAGGATGGCAAATCAATGTTATTATTAACTCTATCTGGATACAATTATGAAAGTCACACAGTTCGACCCAAATAACAGGGGGAGGGGGGGGGGGGGAATAGGGGTTTGCACGAAATTCAACAAATTTCAATTAACAATTGCATCACAATGTGATTATTAGTTAGTCCAGTCTGATTCACATGCAACTTATCTTATGTTGAATTACCGTAGTATAATAAATTTTTGGAAAGTAAATAACACAGAATTTGATGACATAGAAAACCCCAAATGGGGTAAAATCTCAAGCACAAACCAATATGAATTCACTATAAATGAACACAACTTACAGAACCGCTAGACTAGACCCAATCACGTTATTTCTGAGCTCCTGTACTGCAATTCCCAAAGCCCTCCTGGATTGTGTGCTCTTGCACCAACTCCGGGCTTTTGATTTTGTCTATCTCCTATGGATTCCCTAAGAACTCCCCGTTCTCCAACGGCCAGAACTCCAATCACCTTCCTTGATCTTCAATCTCGCATGGATCCTCTTGAAGCTTTTGTTTTGGTGTTTGAATTTCAGGCTTGATTTTTATTTTTTTTTTCAATCGCCAAAGTTGATGAAGAATGGATTGTGTATCTTTGAAGGATGCAAGTGTTTTCTTTGATGGACAATCCAAGCCTTTTCGTGAAAATGGTGTAAATATTTATATGTGGAAGGTTTTAGGAAGTTTGGAACGATTAAAACACTCGAAAAAGGATGATTAGGGTTTTGCGGAAAACTATGTCGCTTGAGCGATGTCCAGCAAAAGCTAGCGATGGCCTTTTCGCTCGACCGAAGGCTTGGCCAGAAGCTAGTGACGTCCTCTCTTCATGTGGCACTCGAGCAGTGTGTTGATGAGAAACAAAGGAAAATGCGGCAGTCTGTCCTTATTTGACATAAAGCCCTAACCTACCAACAACTTTTACAATGTTGCACATGCCTCCTTGACTTCAATAGCTTTCCATTGAATCATCTGCCTTGTATTTAACTGAAAACACTAACTTGCACCCAACCGTGGACTTATCTTTAGGTTTGTCCACAGTTTGCCATGTTCTATTTTTATTCAAGGCTGCCATTTTATCCATTCCGAGATTGCTAAGGTTTCATAGATAGACTTTGGTGTCTAAATTAATAACAGGTTGGTTGCAAGAGCTTGAACTGATATGGATAGATGGCTATATCCAATGAAGTTGGAAATAGGATGTTGTGTACAAGATCTAACTCCCTTCCTAAGTGCTATAGGAACATTCAAATCATTAGTAAAGTCAATCTATAGGTTAGGAAAATTATCCGAATTCAGATAAGATTCATGGTTTTGCGGTTGAACTGTGAGATGTTCCACCATTTCTGGATTTTTCCTCCTTGAATATACACGTAGCTCTGGTATTAGTTAGACTTTGGTGTCTAAATTTATAATAGGTTGGTTGCAAGAGCTTGAACTGATATGGATAGATGGCTATATCCAATGAAGTTGGAAATAGGATGTTGTGTACAAGATCTAACTCCCTTCCTAAGTGCTATAGGGACATTCAAATCATTAGTAAAGTCAATCTGTGGGTTAGGAGAATTATCCGAATTCAGATAAGATTCATGGTTTTGCGGTTGAACTGTGAGATGTTCCACCATTTCTGGATTTTTCCTCCTTGAATATACACGTAGCTCTGGTATTAGATAGACTTTGGTGTCTAAATTTATAATAGGTTGGTTGCAAGAGCTTGAACTGATATGGATAGATGGCTTTATCCAATGAAGTTGGAAATAGGATGTTGTGTACAAGATCTAACTCCCTTCCTAAGTGCTATAGGGACATTCAAATCATTAGTAAAGTCAATCTGTGGGTTAGGAGAATTATCCGAATTCAGATAAGATTCATGGTTTTGCGGTTGAACTGTGAGATGTTCCACCATTTCTGGATTTTTCCTCCTTGAATATACACGTAGCTCTGGTATTAGATAGATTTTGGTGTCTAAATTTATAATAGGTTGGTTGCAAGAGCTTGAACTGATATGGATAGATGGCTTTATCCAATGAAGTTGGAAATAGGATATTCTTCCTCCTTGAATATACATGTAGCTTTGATATTTTTGCAAGTTGTCTATCTCCCCTTGTCATGGAACTTGGCTGTACAAGAGAATCAACATGTGGTGGATCAGGAAGTAGTTTGGATGTGGGAGTTGATGGTTTGGATATTGAGGCAGAATTCTCTTCAATGAGTGACAGGTGACTGTGGTGTAGTTTCCCAAATATTCCATCATAAGCTCCATCATTATTGTGTTCCTCCCCCTAAGGGGAATTTTGGGAAAAATAAGGAAGGGATTCGAAGAAAGTGACATCCATAGATATGTAATATTTATGAGTAACTGAGGAATAACATTTGTAGCCTTTTTGAGTGGAAGAGTACCCTAAGAACACGCATTTCGAGCCTTAGGGTCCAGCTTGGTATGTTCATGGTCATGGATATGAGTAAAGACACTACATCCAAACACCTTTAGGGGTATAGATGAAATGGATTGAATTTGCCCACATGCTAGACAGAACAGTTAATGAAGTTGCAAAATTATGTATCTGAGAAGGCATTCTGTTTAGCATGCATAGAGGATTGCATCCCCCAAAAATGTTTTGGGACTTTACTGGTAAACATAAGTGCTCTAGCAGTTTTGAGGAGGTGACGATTTTTTCTTTCGATCATTCCATTTTGTTGTGGGGTAATGATACAAGAGCTTTGGTGTAGGATATGCCTTTTTTAGTGAGAAAATCTCCTAACACTTGATTAAAGTACTCTCGTCCATTATCAGTTCGAAAGATTTTTATTTTTGCGTCAAATTAGGTTTGGGTCAGAGTATAAATTTTTAAAAATTTGTGTCGTTTCGGACTTATCTTTTAACAGGTAAACCCATCATACTCTCGTATGATCATCCGTAAATGTTATGAACCAATGTTTGCCTGTAATTCTCTTAATCTAAGAAGGCCCCCATGCATCACTATGTATTAAAATGGTGACGAAGATTTATAATCACGAGAGGAGAATGAAGAGCGAGAATGTTTGGCAAGTTGACAAATATCACACTGAAAATTATCTTTATTGCGAAAAAATGGAAATAAATACTTCAGATACGAGAAACTAGGATGAGCTAAACGACGGTGCTATATATTATTTCTTGTTCTCTTGGGATAGATTCACAACTTGCAGTTTGAGCTTATTTATTCAAGTTAGTGTCCTCCAGAAAGTAGTATAGCCCCACTTTCTTTAGCATTGCCAATCCTCTTCCCCGAAGTCAAGTCCTGAGAAATACATAATGACTCAGTAAAGTTGACTCTGCAATGAACATGTAAAATCGACTTTAATTCAACATATGTACTGAGTCTAATAGTTCCCGTTCCAGCAACTGGGGCAAGCAACCCATCTACTATTTCTATTTTAAAGTGTTGAGGTCATGGTGAGTATGTGTGAAACAATTTTTTGTAGCTCGTCATACGGTCAATAGCTCCAGAGTCAATAACCCAATTTTCAATATTACTCCTTTTTGTCAATGCTGAAATAAAATTACCTCTTTCAGCCAATAAACTGGAGGATGGGGCTTCACTTGATGTAGGAGTGATAAGTTTATATAGTTGCTCGAGTTGGGCTTTGGTGAGTGACAGGGAGACATTTTCGGATATCTTTGGACTAGCTTCAGTAGTGCTCTAGAAACCAAAGGAATTATGGTCCTGAATCTTTTCACGGTGAGCCTGATTTTGTCTTCCATCCTCACGGGTCCATTGTTTTCTGTTTGGTGATTGGCCATGTAGAATCCAACACCAATCAATAGAGTGATTTATTCTTTTGCAGTGGTCGTAGCAAGAATTGTTTTTTTTTCTTTTTCTTTTTTGTTTGCTTGAGATTGTTCCTAACTGCGAACGGTAAGCGTTGAGTTCTCCGAAGAAGGTTGCTTGGAGTCTAAAAGCATGACGCGTTTTTGGCTGGCCTCACGTTACACCTCAGCAAAAATTTCATCAATTGTTGGAGGTGGTTTGATGCCCAGTAGTTTGCCTCTTCATCTAATTCAGGTACTAACCCAGCTAAGAAATCATCAATTCTCTCCTTTATTTTCCAGCAATTCTTGGTGTGTCCCAATTGATTTGGACGAACATATCAATTTCCCGCCATAGTCCTTACAGAGCATTGTAATATTGTGTGACATCAAGGTCCTTGATGTAAATTCCATGTCGTATTTCGGAGTTCAAACGGTTGGACAGAGTTTTCCAGATCAGAGAAGGTGTTAATCAGAATTCGAAATGAAGAGGAGAAGGATGATGATTTTCTGAAGTGAATAGGTTTATTCAGCCATTAGTAAGAAACTGATTTTCAAGAGATATATAAAAGATGTTCTAGCACATCTTTCTACCAACTACCTGCTACATCCTTACTTAAGGACACACATTACATCATTACATAAAGACATGCTGGTGCAGGTTATACATCAGAAAAATGTAAAGGACTGCTTCCTATAATCATTACAAAATACATAGGGCTTGACAACAAAATAAACATAGCTTAGCCTTATACTTGATACTTAAGGACTCGACAATTGTGACAACAAAAGTGGCAACCAACATCAATACTCCTCCTTAACACTTTTGTTGGAAACACTAAGACTCTTTCTAAGTGTTTCAAATCT